ACGCAATTGCATATGCGTTGCCTACCTTTAATCGACGGAGGAGAGGATGCACAGAAAGAAAATATTTTCCCTTTCCATGTATCCTCTCATCCGGAAAGTCCACTTCCACTTCCCATCCTTTCTTTATAAGAAAAATGGTCGGTAGGGAAAGAGGACTAAATTAGGCCTCCGGGACGCACACTCATCAGACTGTACGCGGAGTTGCTTCCACTTGACGGCTGTCTTCTGTGTGGTCGTGGTATTTCACCGGGCGAGCCGGGACAATTCCTGCGAAGATGTTAAAGCGGGCACTACCACTGTTAACTACGTTATTAAAAACGTATATTCAAATATGAAATCAAATTGAATAAAACTCTATATAAAATAGATTTTTTTTTTAATATAAGGTAAAAAAAAACATCGTAATATTTCTAGGTTTTTCCATTTGAAAAATGAGCACTGCCCACTTATAAATATGCAAGCGCTTTATTAGAAAAAAATCTTTTTTTTTCTATTTCAACGAGCATACAGCATTCATAACTGGCCAGCTAATGTTCCCGCCATTACGAAAAACCGCGGGAACAATGCTCACAGATTAAAAAACAACACAGCAAAGAGCATTTGTAATGGAGTTTCTGGATTACTTTAAAAACATTGGTTCAAAAATACTTAACTTGAAGATTAATATAGTAAAAGAGAATAACACAAAGTATCAAAAATTTAGCGTTACTATGCAGAACCAGCAACAGTGTTTCAACAGTGGTAGAGCCCGCTCTAACATCTTCCCGACTCGTCCGGTGAAATACCACGACCACACAGAAGGCAGGCGTCAATTCTTTTAAAAGAATCTTACCTTAATTTCCTAAGAAAAGCTCCAAAGAACGGTATCAGTCTACATTCTGACATAGCTAGTGCTCTGCCCAGGGCTCGCTCGTATTCCGCCGAGAGTAACGCGGCGGAGAGGAAGTCCAGCACTGGAAGTGGCTCATCAGATACCGTGAACCAAAATGCCTTCAACTTCTTGGATCTGGAAAGAGTACATAGAAATTTGATTATCATCAGCTCACTATACGTCACTGAGGGTCTGTAGCCTACCCTAAGATATGTGACTAGGTGATAGTGAATGCTGGTCCAGTGCGTCACTTCACACATATCTTTGACATTCACAGATATGTTCAGCATCAACATGTTTTCCTTCACACTAACAACATAGGATAAATGTACATATGTAACACATTAGTACATGCCGGGATTCGAACCCAGGACCTGCAAATTGCAAGTCAAGTACTTGACCCCTAAACCACCGCTTGAAAGAATTTGATACTTGTTACAATTGATTAAGGTTTGTTTTTGCTTGTTATGCAACTTGATGTTCTATTCAGAGACAAGAGACACGCAATTCTGACACTTATGAGTAAGGACTTATGGTTCATATTTGCTTTTTTATCACCTAAAAATATTCAAATATTGGATGGATACTGGTTGTTAAGAATTAAAAAATAAATTCTGGCTGAATGTTAAAAACCTTTGTCATATTTTCTCATTTAAAAAAACTCAATTCCTAACAATTTCCTCTAACGGAACGCAATGGAGTCATTTGAAATAAAAAATTCAATGAAAAGAAAAAATCGAAACATTCAAATTCCGAAGTCGTATTTTCCAAGTCAATTTAATTTATTATAGTAAGAAGTCAGGGAATGGAAATAAATCGACCCATATCGATATAAATACTCCCTAATGCAGGAGTAAGCAACCTTCGGTTTAGGCAAAATTTAACTTTTTTTTAAATAATTTAAAAAAAAATCTCAAAAAAAGTTATAGATCTTTTTATATATTTTTGTACTCATTATCAGCTATCACAGGTCCGCACTAAGGGTCTGGGAGTCTACCCTAAGTGATGTGACTAGGTCATAGTGAATGCTGGGCCGCGGACGAGAGCGAAAGCGTGCCCGTGGTCCCGTCCCGATGCGTTGGA